GCAATCCCACCATGGCGGTATCAACGCAAGGCTATCTGAGCCGCTATGCCGCTACGGAGACGGTTACGATATTATTACCTGCAATGGTCGAGTACCAAACCGGGCTTTCAGGACTATTAGGGATCCTCCATTGCAGGACGCACAGCTTCAGCAAGGTAACAATCGTAATCTGTTCAGACTACCAATTCTCCAGCAGATCTCGCATCGACCAGGTGATGACTACCAAGTGATGACGCTACTACTCCATATCACTGCACCTCTTCGTAGTGCCCACGCCATCAATATCCAATTCTCGTTCAGTCTGGTCCAGTCGCACGTCAGCATCGTCGATTTTCAGAGGGTATCAGGTTGTCAATGACCTCTTGATTGCTCCGACAGGGAAGGCGGCGGGGGGGGATCGTCTACGTCCGTGCTCCAGAACACAACCTGTTCTCCAGATACCTAACCCCCTCCCCCAGCCACTTAACAGCAGCAACAGCACTTTCACCACTCACCAGCAAGACAGAGTATGTCTCTGCCCTCATGCAAGGATTTACAGGGAACTTTTTCTTCAAGAAATGATTAGGAAGGTGTATAAGGAATGTGATGGGTATAATAAGTAAAGAGAAAAAGAGCATCCATCCGACTCGGAAAGGAGGGCGGTTTAGCTTCAGTCAAGCATTTCATCCTAGATTGCCCATAGAACGCCATGAAAGAAAGACCCCACCCCATTTTTTTTTTGGTTCTTCTTCTCTATATCCCTCTACCGCGACTTCGACTACAGTCCAATCTGAGAGCTGGTAGGGGGGGGAGATAAACAAGGTTTGAGGGTTGAAAGAAAATATCCTTGTGGCGATTCAGCCATGTGTGAGCCCATGAAGAGAAGGTGGCAGGTTAGAACGGTGTACTGTACAAGAGCGATATGCAGTCCTGTCCTGTTCTAGACGCGCTCGTCGGCACGCTCGCCGACCTTATCAGCCTCACGCTGAAGGGGGGCCGCCTCCTCGTCGAGGTCGTCCTGGTAGGTCTCGTCCATGAGACCGACCTTCTCGTTTTCGGAGGCGCGCTCAGTCTCGGGGGAGCGACGGCAGATACGACGGCACTTGGTGGCGATGGAAGCGCCGGTGGCCTTGTTGGCACGACGGGCACGCACGAGCATGGCGGCGAAGCTGCAGATGCCCATGACGAAGCTGCAGAGACTTAGCATTTCACATTCGGCAACCGGCGCCATGCACGCAGGACGTGCCATGCACACGGAGGAGACAGAGAGAGCCGGGGACAGGGGTAGGAAAGGAAGAACTTACAGGGCGACACCGACACCAGCCGTGATGCCAGTCAGGACGGGCAGGACGATGCTAAAGGCGACAATCTTGAACAGAGGACCCCAGCTGGGCACGTTGTCGGAGAAAGGCCGGGCCGGGCCGTGAGGGTGGTGGTGATGCGGGTGAGGACCGTCGTGGTGGGGGCGGCGGCCGTCGTCGTCGCCGTCGTCGTCATGGTCCTGGTGCATCTCGTGGCCCACGCTCATCCTGTCGTCGGCACCCATGGGGGGGCGGCCGCCGCGGTGGTGTCCGTTGGGGCCGGCGCCGGCCTTGCTGTTGCCTTGGCAGTCGCCGTGGCGGCCGTGGCGGCCGTGGCGGCCGTGGGCGCCGAAGCCGCGGAGCATGGCCTCGGCGCCATCCTTGAGGCGGCAGAGGAAGCTGGCGCAGCGGGGGGTCTCGGTGTCGGCGAGGGCGACGTCGCCGATGAGGATGTCACCGGTGGGGGCGCGGATGATGCGGATGTCGATGGTGGGGATGCCCTCGATGAAGCGGCCGCCGACCTCGATGATGTGCAGGGCGATGCTGACCATGCCCATGGACTGCTCCTCGTCGTAGGCCTGGGGCCCGACGGCCAGGCTGTAGCCCAGCAGCTGCTCCTTCTTCTTGCCGTTGGCCTTGACCAGGGAGGCCGTCAGGTCGCCGTGCCACGGGTCGGCGCTGGGGTAGAGCTCGTAGCCGTTGAGCGTGAGCCGGGACCCGTCCTCCACGGCGATGTCCATGCTCAGGTGCGAGTCCTTGCCCTTGCACTTGGCGCAGGGCACCTCGACCACCTGACGCATGGCCGTCGCCGGTATCTCGCTGGCGTATACGTCGAACGGCAGGGCCTTGTACATCTCCTCCTCTGCCTCGGTCGTCTCGGGCACCAGGAGGAAACCCGTGGCGGCCGTGGCCGCCAGGATCAGTTGCTTCCAGAGCATGACGTCGGATATGCCGGGGGGGGGGGGTTGGGTTAAGAGAGAAGCTAGGTGGGTGGGCGGGGGGGTTTCTGTGGTGTATCAGACCACTCCTTCAATAGGGAAGCAGACACTGGAAAAGAGAGGAAGAAGAAGAAGAGACGGTTGATGGTTGTTGATAAAAAAAATCGATGGATAAGAAAAAGTCCTGATGAGGAAGAAGAACGGATTAAAGGGAATAGAGAGAGAAAAAAGTGACACTATGACCAGGAGGGGGAAAAGGTAGCAGCACATCAACAGAGTCAGTGGACCTGGCCTGATATCATGTCACCGGATGCTGCGGCGGCCAGCGTATCATCCAATGAATGCGCAAGCCTTTCTGGCCCGATAAGTTAGGTGTCAATTTCTACAGGCAATCCAGGGTCTGATTTGCGTACGTGGCCCTGCGTTTAAGGCTGCACTACGCCTGTATCTGCTCCCCTTCCCCCCCCCCCCCCCCATAATCTGTCATAGCTTTGCACGTTCCACCTGATTGTAGCGGGTCTTTGCCGTCTAAAAATAGTGAGAAGGGCCCTTGTAAGACCTCCCGCTTCCATCAACTCTCGTCATCAACCTCTCAAAGCCAAGAGAGAGCATGAGAACGTGAGAAGAGGAGAGGAGAAGATGAAGGAGATGAAGGAGATGGAGAAGAGGAGAGAAGAGGGACAACACAATAGAGAGATGGAACGTCAATCAAGTGCTGAGCGCTAGGGCGAGGTAGGATACGGGAATTATGCGCTGTCTTCTCAGCCCCGGCTGCCCTGCACTCGTAGCAACGTCCAAGTCGATGTCTGCCGTCTCCGAACCGCTCAGCTGTGAACCTAGTATTGGTGTCGTGCTAGAGAAGTCTACAACTTGACGAGCTGTGTTTATGGTTTTTCTTTCTTGGCCTTGCAGCAGCTGTATCTGAACTCGCTTTAATTCGGTACTTTTATCTTTGCTGTACAAATCCATCCATACGAGGATCCGAGCAATGACATGTCTAGGGTATGCAGTGCGCCACGGCGCCATGGCGGCTGAGCTACGAGATACGTGTGTGTACAGGACAAGAGACGCCGCCAGTCAACGAATAACGCAATATTCTCGTTTAGGGATATAGTTGTATCACACCCATCATGAAAAAGAGTTGACCTTTCTCTTCTTCCCTCTGCGACTTGAAGCCACCGATGAGACCGTTAGCAATCCATCAACCTCTGCTATCACGTAGGAGTGTTCAGGGTCCTCTCCTCCTACGGCTCTCAACAAGCTCTCTGCAGGACTGGCCTGATCACCCTCCCTGCCAAGGTTACACGTCTTCTTCGTGGCAACTCTGTAGCCGCCCCGCCACAGGGTGTGCAGCGCAGACACACGCTCCACAACATCCGGGCCTGTGCAGATACACACGTCCAACCACTGGGCTTACGGCTGTCCATGCAGAGATGCGTATTCCGACGTGGAACGGACCGTGGTGAAACCTTGATTCCAGGGAGACAGACAGGTGATCAGCTGTTCAATGTGCGAGTGGTGATTGGGCAGAGGGGATCCCGAAGGGTCGGGAACCCGCGCCGCGAGAACATGTCTCGGCGGGATGGGCATGTGCTCTTCACTGTTCCCCACCAGTGACGCCCGTGTCCTGGGTGTCGTCGATGATGGGAACGGGGGCGTTGACGGGGGCGTCGTGCGGGGCATCGACGGCGTCAATGTCGGCGGCCCAGAGCGCGGCTCCGACTGTTGCAGAGCATCAGCATCGTCTCTCTCTCTCTCTCTCTCTGTCTCTCCCCATCCATAGCTTCATCCTCTCGTCGTGACATGGACATACCGGTATTGGTGTATGTGAAGAAGACTGAAGCGACGGGAATCATCTCAAGAAGACCGGCGACTATTCCGAAGCTGCAAGAGTGGTGTTAGCGACATGTCCTGCATCGTAGAGGGAGAGGCATCGACGTACGCCGTGTAAGGTCCCTTGTGCGTCTCCAGCCAATCTACCCGCTGAGAAGGCGCCCACTTCTTGAGTTGGAAGAACTGCCTCGTTGTCAGCACACACACACACACACACATCTACCAATCTGTATTCGCTTCTCCCCTCCCCCCCAAGACGAGCGGAAAGGTAGGATACTGACCCTATCATGAACCGTCCCCCCACGAGAACGAGCCTGGAAGAAGAAGAAGGCGGCGGTCCCCACCACGGGGATGAAGTTGAGCGGGAGATACAGGAAGTACCGGAGCAGCGACTTGACGCCGAAGCCGTCAAACGGGCTCTTGACCAGCTTGCCCAGCTTCTGGATGGGGTCCAGCCCGCCGCCGAACTTGACCTCGCGGCCCTCCTGGACCATGCCCGTCTTATTCCGCGTGAGCAGGGTGCCGTCAAACGTGTTGACCAGGGCGTCGCGGAGGAGGTACTGCCTCGCCAAGGCGTTGACGACGGTGACGCTCTCGTTGAGCACGAGGAGGATGGCGGTGCCCACTGCCAGGGGGCCGTCGACGAAGAAGAGGACGGCCAGCTGGGGAACGTAGGTGAAGCTGAACATGCCGACCACGACGGAGACGTAGAGGGCTAGGTATTGGGGGAGGCAGGAGAGGAAGGGCCGCCAGAGGGATCGGTGAGAGAGGAAATAGACGATGCCCTTTGACCTGTCAGCCTCTCGATGCTACGAAGAGCACGACGAATCGCACCAGTCTCCGAAAGGAATAGAAATCAAAAAAAAAAAGAAAAGGGTTTTGAAGCCCATCGGAATCTCGATGGGATTTCGAATTGGGTAGAGTTGGAGGGGGAGTGCCTACCTTGATGGGATACATCCACGAACCGCTCTTGGCAGCGTGGAGGGCAACGTCACGCACCTTGCCATAATCTTCCTTGCTGCTTACACGTCAGAAACATCTGGCTTGGATGATGGGTGAGAGGCGTGATGATTACAGGACGGCTTGCGCATTGCGGGATACCGACTTGGCCACGCGACTCCTCTTGGAGCTGCCCGCAGGCGAAGCAGACGTGTCGGATACGGAGTCGGCCATGACGGCGTGGTCGGAGGGCCAGGAGAAGGACGATGACAGGAGAAGAGTCTATGCGGGCGATGGGTGAGCAGACGACTCTGCGAACTCGATATATTCTCTCGATTCTGATGCTGCCCGTGCAATGATAGAGGACCTGGCGCGTGAAAGAAGTCGGGGAGGTTGGAGGTTTTGCAGCACGCGCCGCAAGAAAATTGCGGGGACAGCAACTTCAATGACGTCAGGAGCTAGACTCTCCCTTGGGAGAGTCTAGCAGTAATCCGGAGGATATGAATCATCAGTCCGAAAGGTGAGCGAAGACTAGATGTCGCACAGGAATAGATTATATCAGAGATTAAAAAAAAGAATAATAAAATAAAAGCTATGTGGCTGCAGAACCCATCAAAGTCTTCGTACGGCTGTAATGAAGAGTGTGAGAGGTGACAGAAAGAAAAAACTTGCGCCGAGGATAGGAAGAGACGTTGTGTTGCTGGAAGTGTGGCGTCAGCTCTGCCATCGCACAATCAACCACCTACGAGTACGTGGCATCGTGCGATGTCTCTTCTACCGAGTGACGACGTGCCGACTGTGCATATCCTCTTGTCGAGAGGGAAAGGGGGCGGAAAGAGAGAGAGGACTGTGGAGAGCACGAACCGCTGTCCGGAGGACGGAGGATGTCGGCCAGGCTGAGATATCCAAACGCACTCTCTCGTACGAGACAGGATGGCACGCCGAACCTTGTCGATTCGGCGACGGCGTCCAGACCGGCCTCATCCAACGAGTCGACTGCACCGCATGTAGGACAGGCAATGTAGTGCTCCCCTCAGACATCGTTGACAGACGTATGACGACGGATTTCATATGCACACCCCTCCCTTTCCCTCCTTCCCCGCCTCTGCCCGTCCGCTTCTCGCAGGTACTACGGCAGGGCAAGGTCAGAGAGTAGGCAAGATACGTATAGTAGAGTTAGGAGGGGAAAGACACGAGGAAAGCATGTTTTGTGGAGAGTTCGACTCGGTATCACGATCCGATTGTCCCATGCATTGTTTCCTCCATCGCGGTGGGATGACCATCTAGATTCAAACCTCCTCGTCTCTGCCTCCAGAAGGTCCCGGTACAGATCTAGCATCTGCTGCTCGCCGGATGACTGGTCTGTGTTCTGGAACGCTCTTACCGGCATATGCAGTCAGCCTTCCCCGCCTCCCCAAGGGGAACGTCAAGAAGGGGGAGACGGGGCCGCAGGGGCCGCAAGGGCCGCCGTCCCGCCGCCACCGCCGCCGCCGCCGCCGCCGCCGCCGCCGCCGTGGTCGGACCTGATATCTGGCTGATGTGGGCAAGGTCTGGCACTTGAAGGGGAGCGAGAGGAGCTTGGTTTCCAATTGTTCCGTGTCGGTCTTCGGACATGTCTCTGGACGTGGATGGGGGAGGGAGAGAGGACCGGCGTCGGTCCGGAGTGGTGGATCCTGGAGAATGGACGGGCCGTTTCACCCACTGAGAGGAGGGAGAATTGACGTCAAAGGGGCCGTCTCATGTTCTATCGGTGATGTGACGGGTGCATATGAGATGGCGTGTACTTGGCTGTACCGCTCATCTCTAGATGCCAGAATCTAGATGACGGAAACATGTTCTAGCAGTATCTAATCTGATGATGGGTGCAATACGTCTGCCCGGAAAGGACCTCTGCGTGGCAAGAAGGATAAGAAAATAAGAATCAAATAAAAGGAAGGGCAGATATATCTGACGGGCAATAGCGTCCAGAACCGATAGCCGGGATAGGAGGGATCCCAGCAACAGTGTACGGGTAAACCAGTCAAGGGCGTTGCCGTCATCGCATTACGATGGGAACGGGTTTGCCACCTCAATCTGACGTGAACGGGGTCATATAATCACATCAACAGCGACTAACCCGTCAATTCAGAAGAAAAAAAAAACGAACCTCGGGCGGTTTGAAGCATAAAAAAAGAACAGCAACCCGAGAAGCTCCCAGACCGGCAACCAGCCGACAACCAGCCGACAACCAAGGTTAGGATTGGCATATAATAACAAAAGACCAACAAAAAAAAAGACATTTATTATTATATATCTATTTTTGTTCTTAAATTCTTTTTTTTTATCGCCACTCGTACGATATCTATAGAATGATACGATTATAACCATACACAAGCAGAGAGACGTCTGTCAGGAGGGGGTGTGCGTGTATGTGAAGGAGAAGCATATTCGCATGTCGGCCATGTTGCTCGTGATGACAGTATTCGGCATGTATCGACTATCCCGTCCCAGCGTCATCGACGATGAGGGCTGTGGATGAGAGAGTCTCCCTCGATTGCTGCTGTGATCGTTTTTGTTTCTCATTATCATTATTGTCGTCATCTCTGACGGAACGGCTGTGGGATTGACGGGATCGTCATGGACCGGGGACCACGTTTTTTCCTTCCTTTTTTTCTTTTCTTTTCTTTTTTCCTTCCCTTCCCCTTTTGGATCTCTTGCGTCTCTGGAATCCATGAGGAAGAAGACAAAGAGACCATGATAGATTCAAGGTGGGTGGCGTGTCGATATACGGGGAGATTGGGGGGGGGATAGCCGTAGTTCAGAGCTCGAGTACGCGCGATGTGGACGGCGACCGCCAAGGGATTGGATTGGGAGGCGTGGGATGGGACGGCATGTGCGGCAATTGACCAAAGGCCGACGCCGCAGAAACGGAACTTACCAGGATCCCTCTCCCCTTTGTCTACGGACACTTGTACGGGATATTCGCACGAGTGCTCGTGCCGGGATTGATATTACTTGTTAGTACATGTACGAGTTGGTCGCTAATCGCAAGGGGAGGATGTCCCCGTCACAACACGCGTATTTGTTCTTGCTCTCTCTCTCTCTCTCTCTCTCTCTTTTTTTTTTTTGACATGCGCACATGCGCACATGCACATGGGGGATGTGGGAATGTGGGATGCATCGAGCATACAAGAGTGCGAGTATTATCGCTAGTGTATCTTGAGGGAATTTCACCCTGTTAGATTGCCATTCTTCTCTCTTTCTGGGTTATCATCCGTCCGAATTCGTCTTGTCGGGCTGCCGTTTATGCTCGTGCGAGTGGCTCTCTCTCTCTCTCTCTCTCTCTCTCTCTCTCTCTCTCGCTGCGATCGTGTTCGATGCGCGATGATGATGAGCAAGGATGTGTCGGTACCATCACCACCTATGCTGCGGTTGTATTACCAGAACCGGAAAGAGAGATATGAGAGGAGAAGAGAAGAGAAACGGGCGTCTATCTACACTCCTGATGCTGGTAACAGGTCAGGTACTTTGGACCGTACAATCATCATTTTACATGGGAATCTCGATGATACGAAATTCCGTCATTGTGAGACCGGCATCTGGACTGGTTTGATTCTAGAAGGTCACCCTTCCGCATAAGGCTCTGCACGCAATGCAGAGGGAGACGAAGAGCCCAGATGTTGATGCAATTTTTTATTCCGCGGAGAAATCCCTTTCTCTCATTTTGTTCTCCTCTTAATTTCCTGGGGATATATATATATATATATATATATATATATATATGTGTGTGTGTGTGTGTGTGTATGTATATATATTATCCCCCCCCCCCGGCCCCTAAACAAAAAAAAAAAAAATACTCATTGTTGTTTGTACCTGTAGTAGGGCGGAGTACATGTATCCGTGGATTGTCGGATCTTTTCATGGATGGGGGTGTGTGTGCGTAATGTAGGAGTGAAGATCATTTTAGATGAAGATGCATGCCCTAAGAAGGGGAAAGGACAGGGGGGGGAGGGGACACGAGGAGGAGGATCGAGATTCAAGGAAATGTCGGTATGTCGGAGGTTACAATCGCCGACTCTCGAGCGTAGAACGAATCCCTTTCACCGACTGGACTCTTCGACTACGGAGCAGCACGTCCCCTTGATTGTGGAGAAGGAAACGGATGTCGGGACCGGCATCGAGGTATCTGAGACGGTTTCAATCCATTATTCCTGTGCCCACTCTATTCCATCCTTCTCTCTTCTTCTCTGCTCGTCCGACGGTAGCCTGATGAGATGTGAGTAAGGGGCAGAGCGGTATTCTAGAAGATGGAGAGACGGAAGGTGCATATCAGCGTGGTCGGTGCGTGTTCGTCTGCGCAGAAGTACATGGTGGTGATCCTGTGCTGGCAGATAGTAGATGTACAGGAGGAGGGGGATGCTCGCTAACTGACCGGCCGTGCCTGTTTTAAGTCGCCGTGCATCCATCTCGGTCATCATTCCCGACACTCTCTCGCTCGCAACGTGAAGCCATTCCTCGCTGTATATCCAGCACAGAGAGAGAGAGAGGGAGAGAGAGGGGGGTTGGGGTTGGCGAAAAACAACACCACTATACCTCTACACTGTATAGTATGGACTCGTGAGGATGATCATCTTTCAAGGCGTAGTTGGGAGAGGGAAGGATAAGTAGACGGCGTCAGCAACACGCAACACAATTCAGCTTTACCAGACCGTTATCAAACCCGACCTCTGACCAAACGGTACTGGTCAGGAAAGAAACGTCGGAGTGACTAACCCCCCCCCCCCGGTTATATATATGAAGTTTACGCCGTATCGATACATGTAGCTGTGCGTGGTATCAAGACGTAACCTGTTCGCTCGTACCTTGAGAGGTGGAGGGCGGGGGTTCTGGTCTCGATTTCCGGGTGGCTTACGACGACAAGTATACAGCTGATATGAGGGAAGGCACAGACGCGACGAGTTTCGAAGTTGGGATGTACACATGCATCAGACATGCCATGCGGTCATCCGTACCGGGAGGAGTGATGACAGTCCCTCTCGGACTGTCTGACTGTCTGGCTGTCTGGCTGTCTGGCTGTCTGGCTGTCTGTCTGGCTGTCTGACTGTCTGGATGTCTGTCTGACTACCTATGTATGGACTAGCTGGTCAGTAGTGCCAGTCACCGGGACGATTCTCGTACGAGAAAAGTATGTGTTGGGTGAGGTGCATCTGGCAATCTGAGATATGTGCATCCATGTACTATCGTAGAACCGGATAGCTCCTCGGAGGGGGGGCTTAGACTCTGAAATGAGGCGTCGACAAGATTTGGCACCCAAAAGTATACGGGGGTGCGGCACAGTGATTGGGGGGGAGGAGTTGAGTGCTCGTATACTCTCTTTTCTCTTCCTCTTTGGGTATTATTACTTGTACGGTCGAAGGGAGGAGGAGAATGTGATACTGCTGGCAGCAATAAGCAGGCAAGATATGGGAACAGTTTATATGTATATATATATATATTCATATATATTCATACATGTAAAAGAGGGAGAAGAACAAAAGGGTACATGATGAAAAGGACCTGGGTTTCTCGAGGGTATCGCATACAGGCTACAGAGCCGTGTCCACCATGTAATGATATGAGTAAACCGTAGACACCCAGCGTTGTTAGGGATCCATGCAGCGTGTGGCTGGAGTGCATACGCGAGGAGTATTACGCTACTCTTCTCCCCCTCTCTCTCCCTCTCTCTCTCTCTCTCTCAGTCTCTCACAATCACACACACACACACACACTCTCTCTCTCTCTCTCCTGCGGGGGTTTTCGTGCTCTCGCTCCTTTATTGCATGCCCTTGTAATAGGCGTGTCGCGTGACTCTCGATGAACTCCCTAGATCAGTCGGTTCCCCGTACATGCGGTCTCTCCCTCTCCAACTGCAACTCCCCCCTCCCCCCTCTCATATGACGGTAACGGTACGGATGACGAGTGACGCGCTCCCGAGAGCGACGCAGAACAAGCAACGCACGACAGCAGCCCGATAGCCTAGAAAAAGTGGGATGCCGCCGACTCCACGCTCGGGTTCGGCAACATGCCAAGTCCCGGCGGAACAAGCCAAGAGAGAGGGGTCCATCCGTCCCAGGGGGGGGGGCCAAGGGGAGCGGAAACTGCCCGCTGGCATGTGCATGCGTACAGCTGTCCATTGTCAGCTGTAGCTTGTTGGTTGCTAATTATTTTCCAATTATCCTCTCCAATTTCCTGCTTCTCAACTCCCTCGCTTCAATACCGTGTTCGTAGCATTACGATCGTAGCATCAGCACCATGAGACGCGTCGCCCTCCTGCCCATGAACAAGCAGTACGAGAGGTACTATACGTGCAACGATGACGATGGATAGATGCGCAGGCATTGAGGAATTTGCTGTACCTGTATCGTCGCCAGAGGAAACACAAAACACACTCCCCCCCTTTCACGGCCGCGACAGCTGCGCCCAACCAGACCGCTCTTCTGAACCCCCTCCCCCCTCCCCTCTCTCCTCTCTCGGAAGCACGCGTGGGATGATGCGGGAGAGAGAGAGAGAGGTGACCCGTACAGCTTACTGTCGGCTAGGGAGGCTACAGAACGTAGTAGCGTAGTAGCATAGTACTCGCCGCTTCCCTCCGCGCCCACTGAAGCTGCCATGCAATCTCTGAAGCTAAAATGGGCTCTTTCTCTCTTTTGCACGGCTTACAATCAGAGTCTCTTTTATTTTTTTTATTCTTATTTAATTAAAATTTTTTTTTATTTTTTTTGAAGGAGTTGGGAGAGAGAGAGAGAGAGAGAGAGATTACCAGGTACATATACGTAGCAGTCTGTATGTGTGTGTATGTGTGTGTATGTGTGAGTGAGTGAGTGAGTGAGTGAGTGAGTGAGTGTGTGTGTGTGTGTATACGCTGTAGTCAAGAAGAGAAAAGCTAGGCGTGTTCTGTTTTCGGGCCGCGTCCAAGCTAGGAAAAACAATCATCAAAAAAAGAAGATGCAGCCCATTCATAAGCAATTGGAAATCGAAGAGTCGGGTCGATCTTGATGCTGACTCCAGCACCTCTACCCTCCCCCCCTCCCCCACCTTGTCGTGACATGCGCAGGACGTCGGGAGTATAGAGGTATACATATAAAGGTAACATCAGCATCATAGTATTCTACAGTGAGCCGCGCAGATTCGCATCATCTGCCTGTCAGCCGAAAGTACTCGTCCCCCCTCTCCGGCACTTGGCGAACAGCAAGAACAGCAGCGGCAGCAGCAGCGGCAGCGACGACAGCAGCGTCACGAGCTGAGAGAGATTACACTTCCGAATGGGATGAAAGAAGGGTGCTGCCGGCGTCAGCGGGAACCGAGGAGGGGGAAGGGGGGGGGGGGAGACGAGAACCCGATGCCGGCAGAGGAGAGAGAGTAAGCTTCCCTCTCTCTCTCTCTCTCTCCCAATGCTCGCCCGACGATGATTTATTTCGTCTTTCGCCCTCTCGGCCTCGAGAAATCACGGAGTACGGGAGTCGTGGACGGGAGATGGAACTGACGAAGAAGTAGAGGAGGAGAATCGGCGATTCTTCACTCCGCCCTCACCTTCGATTACCCTTAACCTCGGCACTGCACCGTACTGCTGAGAAACATACATGCGAGTACACACATGACTTTGGGGGCGCAACCTACACTGCACAGCATAACCTCTTTTTATATATATGTATATATATATAATAATAATAATAATTTTTGTTTTATTTTTTTATAACAATTCCCCCATGACGGTTTGTGTAACGGCTCTGCCAGCGCGTGCAATCCAAGGTTCCCCCCCCCTTCTCCTCTCGAAAACGGTTCTAAAAACGGCAGAACCGACTGTACGGTGACAGTGGTGGTGTTGGCACTTACGGAGTAAGCAGGGGTTCGGAGTCGAGGTGAGTACTGATCCCGCTTATTTCTATCTTGGTGACCTGCGGGCTTGGAGAGGAGGCGCGCGGGGAGGGGAAGGCAGTGCGGCAATGTTGAGTTGGTGTTGCTGCTGCTGCTGCTGCTGCTGTTGTTGTCGTTGTCGTGTTGCTGTGTTGCTGTTCTTGTTACGATGAGCATCACGGCATGTATCTCTCTCTCCTCCGCATGCTCATCACTATAACAAGAACGAGGAGATAGAGAGGGAGAGGGAGGAGAGGAGGAAGAGAGAGAAGCGTCGGCGCAGACACTCTGTCTACCCAGGTTTACCATGACTACGACAGAGTATCGCGGCAGAATAATACCCCAAAGAAGTAGAGAAAGAGAGCAGGAGAGAGAGAGAAGAACATGTACAGACGTCGTCGCGTCTCGGTGTTAAAAGCCTCGCCGATAGTTGAGAGAGTCCTCGCCGACTTGTTCTGATCCCTTCATCCCCATCCTCCCCAAATGATATAGACACACCCCCCCCTCTCTTCTCCCTTGTCCCCCTTTCGACCCTCGACCCCACTCGAGCAAATGTACATCGCAGCTTGCGAGTAAGAAGGCACTCGGAGACTATGACAGGGCCGCACCCGGGGCTGAGGCTCACTCTCGCACACGCCACGCCCCCTCCCCTCCTCCTCCCCTCCCCC